CAAGTAACTGTCTTATCGGCAAAACGCCGCAGTTGGATGTTAAGAAACAAGCATCCTTAGAAGGTGCAGCGAGACGGCACCTAGTGTAGAATAGCGGTTAATCTCATACAGGATAGAAAATCCTTGGATTGTTGCATCCAGACACTAACAATAGTAGAGCAGAGCCCTGTGCGGACTGAAAGTGATGCTCGCAGTAGTCTATCTTGCAGGGAATTTCAACAATTATAATTACGAAACAAAGGTGACTGTAGTCACTGAGCCGTTTGTATGACGTCTAGCAACATCTTCAACATTAACTTACCTAGCCCCGAGTGTAGGCTGCTGATCTGGTGCAATTTCAATTATCCTAAATATCCATCGCAGGCGCCCTGTCTATAGTTAAACTACTGGTGATCGAACAACCCCATGAATCGTTAAAGACCGTTAACCTGCTGCAGCCTCTGATAGTAACGGAAGATCGCCTAAGAAGAATATAGTGACTCACTTCAAAAGACGCCGCCTTCACGGTACTGTGAGCATGGTTTTGTGCAGGCTACTAGGTGCAAAATCTAGCTCCTAAATAAACCAGTACCGTACTCTACTTTTAAGCTTGATGGTTTTCCAGATATATTATCACAGTGTATCGATGCAAAAACCCCAACTAGTATCATCACACACCACTTGAGTGCGGAGCAAATGCTGAAATTTATAGCACCTGTAGGATTTGTCATTCCACACTTCGGCCTAATGTAGAAGCTGGAAACAAGCTGCAATGAATACGTTGTATTTCTAATGAGGATGTAAACCTAACTTTAACTATGATACATATAGTGAATGTAATAACCTCAGTTCAACGAGGCTCTCAAGTCAAATCAAGTCAACATAAACTTTAGGAACCCTAATGGGTTTCTTTTCAGCATTTAAACCACCACTGCGGACACCTGGATGATAATATCAATATATATGCTTGGGTAGAAAAGTGGGAAAAAGCAAAACTGTTACTCCAACAAGCGCTCGCACAGAATGTTAGTGCCTTTTGCTGTATCAACAAGCAAACATGAGAGATAAGGCAAAACAGTATTAGGATACGATAAGGTGCGGGAGAATACAATTCGGAATTTCGAACGAGTAGAAGAGAAAGAGAGCATTTTGGAAAGATCATTGTGAAGTGGATGAAATCGATCAGTTAGCATCTTATTGCTCTTTTCTTGCTATTCATACTGTTTTCCTATTCAGCCATGATTCCGATAGCACAATATTTGCACCACAGATTGCGTATGATATATATATATATATATATATATATATATATCTTAGAAGAAAATTCATCGCAGGCACCAAGCTGTTTAGAAATAATCAAAGCAACTAAAATATCTCTAGACAAGCCGCTAAATCCAGCCATATGCTTCATAGATCGCACCAATAAGATGTAGTCTTTCTGAAGCAGTCCAGGGAAAATGACAGAAGAGCAGTATAGCCAATGAGGAATAATACATGAGGTCATAAACCTGAATATTAAAGTAAGAGGTACTGAAAGTACCTTAAGTCTGAGGGCATAAAAAGAAAGTTTTCTGACTTTTTGGAAAGTTTTACAGATCTTCCAACCCCCGTTGAAGTTCTGAGGAATTCTGGTTAGTGGGTGACAACATCACAACATCATTAGCATATGTACACCCTATAAACGTGGTTTGTATAGGGAGGTGTTCAAGATACAAGGAAAATAGAAAACTTGAGAGGATCGCTCCCTGTATAACACCACAGCCGGCACGGAGGACAGAGGATTTCTTACCGTTTAACTTGGTGAAGTGAGTACGACCTGTGGAATAGTCACGTAACAGATTACACACACCAGGGTGACCTCCATTTGCGGATAGCAAGTTAAGCACCCTTGACCTATCGAGACTTCCAAAGGCATTCGAATAATCCAGGAAGAGAAGCCGTACGGATTCACATTTTTGATCTAATGCTGAGGCTATAGAATGAACAACATATGCCACTGTATCCAATGTGGAGCGCTGGAGTCTATACGCAAACTGGTAGATATCCTCTTTAGGAGCGGCTGAAAAAATTCGCGAAATTAACAGTTTTTCGAAAACTTTAAGGAGCACAGATGTACGTGCAATTGGGCGATAGTTTTGAGATCCGGTTTTTGGTATGAAGTGATACTGGCCGTTCGCCAAATGTCCGGGATCACACCCGTAGTGAGGCATTTGTTAAAGAGGTCTGTTAGAGGCAGTGTGAGAGAACTAGTACATTCATTCAAAGCTAATGATGAGGAAGCATCCGGACCACAAGCTTTGGTTGCCTTTAATCTTTTGAGTTCCGTGTTGACGTTGCTTTGATCGAAGGGCGCGGCTGGACTTGAGCTAATGAAGTAGGGCAAGAAAGATGAGCTTAATGAGGCGGAACTAAACTCCGAATTCAGTTTATCCACATCCACTTCATCTCTCTGGCTGAAAAGGCTCTTACCACAGAGCTGCATCAGAAGCCCCCGTAGATCTCGAAGGTTATGGTTTCCTAGAACTGCTTCGACGTATAATTGGTTTAGTCTTATTATCTTGGATTTAACTGCCGTGGTTAGGCTTTTGACACGGGTAGCATTCTTGCATATGCGGGCCCTTTCTTTCATCCTTCAAAGGCGCTTTAGTAGTGGTGATGAAAATCTATCTGCTCTTAGGTAGATCGTTTCAACAGGGTAACACATGTCAAAGCTCTATTTGATGTAGTCTGTAAGATGGTCACATTAGAGCGACGGGTCCTCTTCATTGAAGACCGAAAAATCAGTTAAAGAAAACATTGTCTGGAGCCTCGAGATATTTTTCAAGTATCAATTTCGCCGTGTGATAATCTTGTAAGGACATCTGGTTAGTGTTAAAAAATTAGTCATGCTGGATATGACTGGACACAGTTTTACTATACAATGGTCTGAGCTACTCAAAGGAGTCCGCTTTTGTATAGCAAACAACTGTCGTTTATTTGTGTACACAGCGTCCAACTGGGCATCTTGTCAGGTCGAAACAGTTACTAGGTCTACCAAGCCAGGTGTCTTCAAGGATGTTGTATCACTTATATTGAAGTCGCTAGCAACAATACAGATATAACAATCCAACTTAAGCAGTAGCGTTGAAGAAATTTGGTCTTCAAAAAGCTTTAACTCCGATGCCCATGTGTCAAGAGCAATGTATACGTTTCCAACATTGATTGCTCGAAAGCCACTCAGGAATTTCGGTATGCACTCGACTAAATGGTAGCTTATAGAAATCGTTGAGTACCTAGATATTATGACTGTTGCATTGCATCAAGGTTGATTGCCATAAGTTATAACGCCACCACCACGAAACTGGGGCTTTCCAGGGCGGTCAGACTGATCGGAAAATAACCATCGAATTGAATTACCCCATTTTCCACATCAGCATGCAACCAGCTTTCTTGTAACAGAACGAATCCTGGATTAACCTACTCATTTCGTTGCATAATGGCATTGAGAGCACTGATGTTACCAAGGTGCAAGCGAACATTATTGGAAAATATCAGTAAGCCTTGCGGTTGGTTGACAGAATAACGACTGAGGCCAGACTGCCAGCCAGCACGATGCTTTCGCTTTTTTCCAACACATTTATTCGTAATACCTTTGCAAGTGTTCCTGACTTTATGGCTATATTCGGTAAGGCACGGATTTAAGGCAGTGACACGGAATGTTTTCAAATGGTTGACGGAGTAGGACAACATTGACGTTGAGACATGATCAGAAAAACAAATTACCTCAGTTTAAAATGAAATATAGAATCCGCAGTCTGTGATGTAAAATAATCCAACGAGAACAGCAACGGGTGAATTCGAAAGCTCCGTTGACTAACATCTCAAGAGCCGTATGGTGTGAAGGTCCGGTGTACTCGCATTCAGTAACCACTTTATCCATTTTCTTATAGATTCAAACAAATAACACTGTGCGACAGGAATTCATCAGACAGGAATACTGCTCGCACATACTTCCAGGTGTTACAAGTTGGTTGTTGGGCTACTGCTGCAATATATCATCGATGTTGAGGTAATGGAACAACGGCATAATACGGGTAAAAAGAGCCTAGGCTTTACAAGTCCCGTGGGATATTTCGTATGAAATGCCTGCGTAGAAAAACACGTGATAGAAAAGTAGACCGCACATTTGTGGATTCACCATAATAACCACGATACACATATAAAATCCCTGTATCCCAATTGTGTGGGGATTGATGAGCCCAATGTCTGTCTGCATCTCGTCGTTAGATCCGAAAGATGGAGTGCACCAAATAACGCCAGCTAAACTAGTCCGAATTAGTGTGGACACACAGGTACGCGGCAAGAAATGGGATACTAGATCCGGCCAACTGCAAGAGCACAGATAATGCGACTGCACGATAATGGGTCTGATCAGGCCTGGCCAAACGGAGAAGTATGGTACCCTAACAACCACTCCGAAAACTCTCTAGATTGTCATCAACGGTGGTCCACGCAAGGGAAAGCTCCCTTGCTTACTGCCTAAAATGATCGACGAGCAGTTGTGTGTTGCCTGTTTCAACCAGCCTGTAGCAGAAAGTGCGCCCAACATCAACGTTCCTCTGTTGCACCCTCTATTGAACACACACATATTGAAGAGGAGTAAAATACGTGCGTTAAGAAGCTATTGACTTTCTATTAAGGAGACCCAGCATTGTGTAATGTCCACTTGGGCTGTGAAGTTTTAGGATCCACCCACTGAAAAAGGACGGCACTAAATAGTACAACGGTTATGCCACAAAAATCAGTAAACAATTCATTTGTCAATGATGGATATTTCATTGCAGTAAATGTTAACTCCAATCGGAAACTTAGAAAGCTGGTAGATGGAAGAGGAAATTACACAAGTTTGCTGCCACATCTGTCTTAGTGGAAGGATGTACGATCTGCTATCAACCTCCCTAAAAAATTCATTGTGTTTAGTGTTCATTATACTGTTTCTTCTAAACAATCACCTATAAATGATCTACTCATTTAATTCCCAGATATGCGACTTGAAATGATTGCACTGCGGGGATTGGTTTGGCCGGCACTTCAACGAATGTGCACGCAACGAGGCTTCACTCTGCATATCATTGATCAACACATGGGAACAGACCTAGATCCGTCGAGTACCCCGGAATTCGAAATACAACGCCGAACCAAAATTTTTAATGATCATATGAGAAGAAGACAGGATCAGCAAAGTTTTGTCAACTGTCTGGTAAATGAAAAGCCGCAAGTTTTTTTATACCGCGAACCGTTATTCACAGACAATAAAACTCAAGAATAAATGTTATGCACATATAGGAATATCCTGTATGAGGCAGCAGCTTAGAGCTTAATCATCAAAGTAACAAACTATTTTTGCTCGAGTTTAGCCATCTGCTATAATACCCCGCAATGTTAGAATCATACTGTCACCTAAAATAGCTATGATTACTTAAAATTAACACATTAGACAAGGCAAGTTTTCCAGCACACCGTCTGAAGGCGCTACTCCGCATTTGCACTAAGGATTTCCAATTTCGGTTTGATGATCATCTATGCCGGCAAATTGACGGCAAAGCGATGAAAAGTCCGCTTGGACCTGTCTTAGCTCATATCTTCATGAGTAATCTAGAGAATAGCAAATTACGAAATACCATAGACACGACACGGTTCTACACCCGGTATATAGATGACCCTTTTGTAAACGTCTATACTGCTTAGAAAGCGGAGTGCATGTTGGAATAATTGAACCGAAATCACCCAGAGATCAATTTCACCATGGAAAGAGAGTCTTTAATGTTGCTCTGAAGTGAAGACTAGATAGATCACTCATACGGTCGATTTGCCGTAAGTCGAACTTAGCAGGTTAATATCTAAATTTTAACAGCTACGGCCCGATGAACGGTAAAAGGTCATTAGTTCGCACCTGTCATAGAGCTCGCCGAATCCGTTCAGAAGAATCGATGGAGATAATAGGAACCAAAGTAAATTTATCGCTAGATTTGGCGAAAATAATACCGGAAAAATAAAACGACCCGATATAGAGAGTTTCAGAGCCAATTTCTCCCAACGCTGCACTCCACGCCCGACTGATTTTGTCATAATTTGTACCCGTCAGGTAGCGTTAGCTTGAGCTGAGGGGGAGCCCAACACAATGCTTGGCGGCTTTTGTATTGGTCAATAAGCCAGTTCTCCAAAGCGGGGCTTAACATAGCGATTAGACGATCATAAGGAGAATGTCATTTATTTCATTCATTATGCAGTTTAGTTTCAGGTGGAAAACACTTCGGCTTTTGTGCTGCAATACAAAATAAAAAGCACGATGCAACAGACGCATGCCGGCTAAATCAACAGTAACAGATGGACAACGTTCCGGAGAGCTAAGAGTCTGCTATAGTGCCGCAAAAGGTTATGTTATGCCTAATAAATGAGATCGTGGTTGTAGGGGAGGCTAAGCGACAGGGGGAGGGACAAGATAATCAAAACACAAACTTCATTTAGGTCGACAGCTAGTCGTGTCGGCAAGTGTATCCAGTCAAACGGATTCATCGTCCTTCGGACTCCAACCAGGGAGCCGAGACGCTACAACCAAGGTCAGCTTCGAAGTAAGGTCTTTCATTCCTCTTGAAACGGTCATCACTTGGCCAACTCTTCTTCCATCCACACCCGCGGGCGCACAAACAATGGACGTCGCTTGGCCCAGCCATCGGAGTCCGATGCGTAAAATAACAGTGTTGAGCAGTTCGCTTCTTCTGCTTGCACCATAAACGAGGCGTTGAACACGCTCACTGCTCATAGGGTGTTCCCACCAGATATGAGTCAAACCATGAAGGCATCGCTGGTGGAAAATAACTGGCCTTTTTATGTTGGCTACTCTAATACGCCAGGTTTCACAATAGTAAAGTAGGGTGGAACGCACGCCAGCATTGAACGCTCGATCCTTCAAGGAGAGTGATGTCGCGCCGGCGCCATATGTGGCGGTTAGTGAAAAGGCCTCAAACTCTTGCTATATGGTTCGTGGTCTTGTCTCAAATGCAAACGGTGCTGACACAAGTACCTAGGTAGTTGCATTTTTAAACGACTTCCAGCTGTTTGCCATCATGGGTCAGCGCAGGAGGTGGCCTCTGCCAATCTTGGAGGTAAGCTATTTTTGGGAATGCAAAGCATAGCCAGAGACGGTTGACTGCCAGTGTTAGTCTGTCCAGTGCCGCTTATCAAGTTTGAGAGCGGTCATAGATGAGGAAAATATCGTCAAAAATCTCCAAGTCTAGCAGTCATTCATCTGGGAGCAGCGCCGTCGCATTGCGACTAGACGTTAACGTGGTGTAACGGTTTGCGTAACTCATTGACTCATTGAGCTATACTGGATGGTGCATCTGGGCACCTTGAGAGCTACTCGTACTAGGTTGGTCAATGGTGAGAGGTCAGACAAACTCAGTCTGCTTGTCGTCCAGGTCGAAGGTTTGAAATGGGACGGCGTCCATTTTGTAAAACTGAATCATTGCCACCTCCACGCTGCCTTGCCAACTGGCTTTTGAGCCAAGGGCTTTGGATGAGCACCTTAATCATCCACCTGTCTAGGTTTAAGCGCCCTGGTAGTCTTCTAGCCCACATATAACCATGACTTTTCTTCAAACATAAACTTCATCCTGCATCGGCCGTCACCCAGATTATCAAGGGTCGTCTTAGCTATTTCATACAGCAGGGCAGATAACCGAAAGCATGCTACTGCTGGCGCCTCCCTTCTTGCTTTTCCACCTGTTTCTCTTCCTCCCATCCCGACCTCCATTACTAAGCTTCCTACTATACTTCCCAGCTTAATTGGCAGCCACGCTGTCCCATTTTCATGGCGGAGTTCAACCTTCGCCATCGTAGACAATTGGGTAAACGTGCTGCACTCACATGCATCTTGAACACAGCGTATTGGTGTGTGTTGTGTGAACGAAACTAGGAGCACCAACCTTAATGGTGTTGCTGAACTAAATACACCCGGCACCTCCTTTCGCCATTGGTTGTACGCATCCGGAGATGCCAATGCAGCACTCACTGGTCAAGCGGGAATCATTATAAGCTCCAAGACTAAGCCATATTTGGTTGATTGGATTCCGATGAACAGCCATTTATGTGCAGCCCGTTTGACGACATCATCCAAGGTTGATTCACAAAGTACAAAACGCTGTTTGTTTGTGAGTTCCGCTTATGCTCCCACCGAATGCAGTTCAGTGCTGTCAAGGGCACACTTTATCACGAACTGAACGTGCTACTACGCAGTGCTACCAGTTCATATAGCACTTATATCATTTGAAGGGATATGAACGCACAAGTAGGGCGTTTGAGCTCTTCAGAAGCTCAGCTGGGTGGTAATTATGGGATTAACTCCGAAAGGACTGACAACAGCGAGCGTCTGCTGCAACTGTATGCGGAGCACCAGTTGTTTCTTAGTAGCACTGCTTTTAGACACATTGGGCGCAGAAGTGCCACTTGGCGTCCTCCTGTAGCTGGTCAGCGACGGACCCTAGCCATAAGCTACAGGTGGTGTGCTTCCATCCTGGATTGCCGCTCGTGCTGGAATAACTGCGTCAACTCTGATCATGTCTTGATACGTTGTCGTTTCTCCATAAACTTTACCGGGAGGTGCACCAAGCGTCCCCTTCGATTTGCAAATGAGAAATTGTCTCAGCCATCGGTCAGGCAAGCCTATCAAGACGTACTTCATACCGAACTTCCGCTGTCTTGTCCTAATGAGCCTGAGCTTCAGTGGAATAGGATCTCGGTCGCCATGCACGACGCAGGAGCATCTGCTTGTGGCCCTATCAATCGTCACCGCCACAATCATTGGATATCCGAGAGGTCAGTGAAACTGTTGGAATCCAGTAGAACCTTCCCGGCTGGCTTTGCGCACAATGTATTCAAGCGGACTATTAAGCGAAAACTAACTTGGAGCCTACGTACTGACAAGGAAACCTGGTGGATCAGTCGGGCTCGAGAAATGAAGGAGGCAGGAGCAGTAGGAATTTACCACAAGCTCTTCCAGCTGACCCGCACCACTGGTCCCAGGAAACCAGACGTCAGTGAGATAACCGGAGACATAGAGGGTGCACTGATACACAAGAAGGCGTGCCGTATGGCTCGTTGGGCGGCACACTTTCAAGATCAGTTTAGTTGGTTCCCTGCTCCCGGACCACTTGCTACTCAAGTAATGCAGGATGAGCCATGGACGGTCAGTTTAGAGCCTCCATCGTATGCCGAGGTCCGTAACGCGATCCTAACCTTCAATTGTTTTCGTGCCACTGGACCGGATTCCCTCCCACTGACCTCCCTATTCTTAGGTATCTGGAAGCAAGAGAGTGTTCGGGCTCATTGGAGCGAATCGAATATAGTGGCGATATACAAGAATTGCAGTCCCACGGACTATTTTAATCACAGGAGTATTAGCCTAACGCCAGTTGTGCCAAAATTACTGGCGTCGATTCTCGTTTGTCTCCTCACTGCGGAACGGGAAACTCGGATTAGGGAAGTGCAGGCAGGTTTCCGCCCAGAATGTAGCTGTACAGACCGTATCTTCACTGTGCGGCAGGTTCCAGAGTAGCGTCAAGCATACCGCAGACCTTGATTTCAAAGGTGCTTTCGATTCAGCCGATCGATCCATTCTGTTCGAAATACTTGCGCGGAAAGGTGTTCCCACGAAATATGTGGACACCCTACGTGCTCTATGCTCGAAAACTACAGACCGCGCCAGGGTCTACAGTGATGTGTCGGATGAGTTTCCGACCACAAGTAGCGTTCTTCAGGGTTGTCCGATTTCCCATCGTTGTTCAATTTCGTCGTGGACTCTAACATGGTGTTTGTTCCCTTGCGGAATATTACGATGTACGCGTTGAGGTCCTGCATGGTGAAAGATTATTTACTGTTGATTTTGCAGACGATATCGTCTTGCTTTTTGACGACATTGCGGAGGCGCCATCAACCATGAATTGCCTGTCTAGTGTGGTCCCATTATTTTGTATGCGCTTCGCACCTACAAATTGCAAACGGTCGCTGCGGGACCACCAGTCACTTTAAGACCCCTTGACCTTTGATAACGAGGAACTTGTCGTGTTACCCTCTGGAAAGCAAGAAGACTGGGCCGCGATCACGAAGTCGTTTATTAAGATTACGATCAACTATGTATAGAGTATATACACTACTTACAACCGTCCGTTTCAATGGCTCATCCCTGCTATTTGTACTGAC